TCAAGTGTAGAGTGTTAGCCTTGAGCAACAGAAGCTCAGGGACAGGGCCCAAGCCCTAAGTTCAAACCCCAGGACTGGCAAAAAAAAGAAGGAGAAAGAGAAGACCACCTTCCTCTTCTTTTCTGTCTCCTGCTGGCAAAGGCAGTATGAGCTGGATGGGAAAATTAAACCAGAAGGTAGGGACATTTGGTGGATCCAATACCTGGCACATATTAAATACTCAAAAAAATCAAATCAATAAAAAAAAGAGAGAGGAGAAATGCTAAAAGACAGCCTGGAGAAAGGATCAGTTCATTTTTTTGTTCCCACTTTTTGTCTTCACTATTAAAACAAGGTTCAGCCAGGCCTTTTTCCCTTGACCCCTCTTTTAAAAAAAATAAATAAAAGTTTATTGTTATTGTTATTGTTAAGGTGTTGTATGGAGCAGTTACTATTTCATAAGTCAGATAATGACTATGTGTCTTTTTGGGGACAATGTCATCCCTTCCTTCACTTCCCCTCAGTTTACCTCTCCTATCCCTGCCCACAAGTTCCCCTGGCTCCTCCTTGGTGATTCTTACCCAAGGTGACTGGTGGGACAATAGTGACTGAAAGGGAAGAATTAAGTGATCACATTGCTTTTTTTTTTCTAGTACTGGAATTTGAACTTAGGGCCTTAAATTTGCTTAGTTTGCTGGCTCAGCTGATGCTCCACCATTTGAACTATGCCTCCAACCAGTCTTTGGCCATTTTATTCTTATCAGGGGAATTATTTGGTAGTTTCCAGATTCTCATCTCTGCTACACACTTGATTGCCTACTTCTGTATATTTTTCCCCAAGTTATTTTCTTCCACTCGATTGGCAGATCACTAAAGAGGAGAAACATCCAGTCTTTAGGTTTTCCTTGCTGGTACTGCCTTGGTTTCATCTGACATTAAGATCCCACATAATACTCTCTACCTCTCCTAGAGAGCCTTGTACATCCCTTATACATCTTTAGCCATTTGGGGAAATAGGAGACAGGCTTTTTTGCCAACCAGTCCCTCAGAGCACCCCCAATAATTGAGGCTGTATTTTCAAAACCAATGAGTGTTTGTTGGATATTTCATCACTTGGTGACATCACCCCAAGCCCAAGAGGTCAGGACAAGATGGTAGGAGGCAGGGAGCTGGAAATGTAGCTCAGTATAGAGCACATGCTAAGCTATAAGCCCTGAGTTTGACCCCTAGGACTAACTAAAGAAATAAATAAAAGACAGGGAGGGAGGTTACTAAGGCCCAGCCATATAGGAGGGCTGGCAGGGGCTCATCTTGTTTCCTCAAACCCCTAAGATATCTAAGGCTTCTTAGAAGAAACAGAGAGTGCTGTATGGGTCTTCGCTGCTAAGCTTTGGGGAAACCTCTTTAGAAACAGATAAATTCCTTGGTTTCTAGGGGTGGGAACCTCAAGAAATCTTGGGGGCGCCTCCTAGCAACAGCCTGGGAGGAAGGCAAGGAAAAGAGGGAAGGAGGGGCCTGGGTACCGACTGCTCCAATGGAAGCCCAGAGAGCAGACTATAACTGCTGCCTCCTTGGTAACCAAAATTCAAGATGGAGGGGAGTCTCCTAAAAGGTCTAACCATCTCATTCTGGCTCCACCTTCAGGCTCTGCATAGATGCAGAAGTAGGGGGAGGTAAGAGAGGACAGCCTGGGTATGGAGTTTCATGGCAAGGAGGGAACAGGAGCTGGGATGAACTGAATCTCAAAAGAGCTAGAAGCAAGCCAGGTGCCGGTGGCTCACGCCTGTAATCCTAGCTACTCAAGAGGCTGAGATCTGAGGAACACAGTTCAAAGCCAGCCCGGGCACGAAAGTCCGTGAGATTCTTATCTCCAGTAAACCACCAGAAAAGCAGAAGTGGTGCTGTGGCTCAAGTGGCAGAGCACTTGCCTTGAGCTGAAGAGCGGAGGGACAAGGCCCAGGCCCAGAGTTCAAGTCCCATGACTGACAAAAAGAGCTAGAAGCTTCAAGGAACAGGTGGGCAGGGTGAGACGGTGGGAAGAGTAAATTTGCAACCAGAGATTTAGGCTTATAAGCCGAGAACTGGACTGCAGCCTGGCATCTGGTGATTGCCATCTTTGATGGCAACGTGCTATTCACTTTGCCCTTGCCCAGGTAGTCAACAGCCTGTTTTGGGAGCCCAGGAAAGAGGAAGAAGTAAGGAGATGGGAATGGTGAACCCTTATCTTTGAAATCAAAGTGCCCCATTCTGCTTCTAATAGGGTAGGAGAAGTTAAATCAGGAAGCATTTCATTTTCTGGCTCTGGGGTTTGGGATTTCACTTATGGAGAGTGTCTGGGATTTCAGAAAGTCTCCACCTAGTATCAAAAGCACTGGCCTGGCATCAAAGAGACCTTTGTGAAGAAAGACAGAATGGCTGGGTATGGTGGCAACCTCTTTAATCCCAGCACTCAGGAGTTTGGGACAGAAGAATCATGAATTTGAGGCAGCATAGGCTATATAACAAGATCTTATCTTTTTTTTTCTTTCTTTTAAGCATAGAGGAGGAGAGACAAAAGACAAAAGGAACTCACAATCCTAGCTACTCAAGAGGCTGAGATCTGAGGATCATGGTTCAAAGCCAGCCCAGGCCAGAAGGGCTGTGAAACTCTTTCTTTCTTTCTTTCTTTTTTTTTTTTTTCTGTCCCTTGTGGGGCCTGAACTCTAGGCCTGGGCTCTGTCCATGAGCTCTTCAGCTCAAACCTAGCGCTCTACCACTTGAGCCATGGTGCCACTTCCAGCTTTTTCTGCTTACGTGGTGCTAAGGAATAGAATCCAGGACCTCATGCATGCAAGGCAAGCACTCTACCACTGAGTCACCTCCCCAGCCCCTGTGAAACTCTTATCTCCAATGAACCACCAGAAAACTGGAAGTGGCACTGTGGCTCAAGTGGTAGAGCACTAGCCTTGAGCTAAAGAGCTCAGGAACAACTCTCAGGCCCAGAGTTCAAGCCACAAAACTGACCAAAAAAAAAAAGTTAGTTAATTAATTTTAAAAAATGTTAAAAGGATGTCACCTTCATCTGACTGTACATCTCATGCATTGGGCTTGTTTCCCAACTCCTCAGGTACAAGGAACTATTCCCATAGAGTAGAGCACATGCTCTGAGCATGGCATGCTGTGGCCTTGCTCCCCAGGATTTCTCAGCCAAACCTGATCACTGATGAAGTGGCCTCAACTGGCAGACAGCCACACTCAGTGCACCTCCCACTACACACAGCACTGACTGTACGCTCTAGCCGCTCGCCCTCCACTGCAGCTGTTGCATGTCCACCGTGAGCCTAGCCTGAACACAGGTTGATTCACTAACTGCGTGCTGACTCTGCACACTGCAGCCTCAATTTCCCACTGCAGCTGCCAGGGCACACTGCAGACTTCACCCATTACATATCCACCATCATTTCCTATTGCATTCTGTGCCCTCTCAGCCTCCCTGTGCTCCAAGAAGAGGCTAGGCTCATATCCTCCATGCATGCATTGCAAACCTTTAATATGCCCTGCAAGAGAAGTGGCTCCATGAGAGCTGAGGATGCAGTTGGGCTGATGAAGGGCAGCCCAACTTACATAGGCTGTTTTGGGCAGCATCCCGCTCAGCACATGATTCTGTCCAGTATAAACGGGGCAATTAGCAGAGCCAGCTCCCCCTGACACAAGCGTACACACTCCTCCCCAAGAGCCGGCTGCAGAGGCAGGGCCCCACCCTGGGAGCTCGTGGGAAGGCGATGGCCCCCGCTGGTAAAACTGGGCTAATGACAGCGGGGAAACCGGCGGGGCCAGAGGGGGGGGTGCTAGGGTAATTAGACCTCTGCCTGGCGCTAGGAGATCCTGAGATGAAAGGGGCTCTGGCGTCACCGGCATGGTTTTATGTCAATGAATGCAGGTGTGTGTTGAGTATGTGTATGTGTGTGTGTCCACACGTGTGTGTATGTGCAGAGGTTTGGAGCCAGCGTGAAGACCTCTCTTTTGGGGAAACGGGGTCCATTTGTATGCAGCTGCCCTCCTCCTTTGGTTGGCCCTGGTGCCATTTGGATTTTGATGGGACAAACATGAGAGGAAAAGCCACTTCGATGAAGCTGGGAGATGAGGGGCTATGTATGGCTAGCCTTGCCTTGTCCCCAAGCTCAGCTGGGGGTGGGGGTAGGGGACGCTCAGCTGGGGGAGGGGACAGCTTGTTGGAAAGTAGCTGTTATCGATGAAAGGAAAAGAGTCTCCATGGAGAAAGGGGGACGTCGGAGAGAGGAGGCAGTGGACCCAGTATTGTGAGGAGTAAGGGGGCGAGGGTAACATGGAGGATTAAAAACACAGGGCTGTCGTTCAGAGGACTTCCGAAGTCACCTGCCCACCCCACCCCTCGCAGCTTAAGCTGGAGGAAGCTTTACCCCTGGCAGCGGTAGTGATTTGCTCAAGGTCACACGGGGAGTTTACGGGGAGCGAAGGGACCCGAACACGGGGGGAGGGGGGCGGGAGATAGACACAAAACCCGCTGCACCTCCAAGCGGTTGGGTATTTGGGGCCATCTGGCCAGTCTTGGTGGAGACGGGCTCCCCCATACTTCCTTCCCACCCCGGGGCGCAAGCCCGAAAACCCTCCAATTCTTCCAAAGCTTTTGCTTTAAAAAAAAAAAGATATCCTTTTCAAAACGTGTCACCAAGTACACCACTCCGGCCTGGAGTGGGGAGGGCGAGTCCGACCGGAGCCAGGAGCCGGCGCGATCGAGGGGCGGCCGGGGC